TATACTAGTCCAATGGTCTTTTTTTTAATGGATAAATATCAACGAAATTTTAATCAACCACTATTTTGATTTGGTTTAAATTCTTTTTATCTGTCGAATTCCTTGTCAAGAGCACCGAGTGCACAAACCAATCTAAAATACACTTCAAATTTTGATTGTTTCTCAATTGACTTGATTTAATTAAGTTTACCAGCCTTTCAATAGTGATATTGTTGTTCTTGGTAACCTTTAAAGAAAATATCTCACAATATTGAAGTATTTTGCTCCTTTTCTATTCACGTTGTATTTTTAACAATTCAATCCCATAATCAAAGTAAATTTCTTTAAGCTGAAACAAGTTGATTTATCATTCACTAGAACTAGATGTCATGCAACTTATTTTTACTCTTCGCACATCGCAACAACACATAACAAATCATTTATTTATTGTTTCTAAAATGCTTCAACAAATATTTCAAGAGTTAAAAATAGATTCACTTGGAATCAACATAGAACTTTTGATCCATTAGAATTTTTCTAAAGTGATCAAAATAAAATTGTCATCCTTACCCTTAAAGGTATTTAAAATTTTATAATAGTGATCAATACCTTTAGTTTTACGTTTCTTACTGCTGCAAGAAGTAGAAGCAAATTCTTTAGTAATTTTCTATCTTTAGCCATATTTTACACTCTAAAGCAAACAAATTTGTAGTGATCAATCTATTGACCACTAGTCTATTAACTAAAACAAAAAATTACTCTATCAAACTTGCAAAATGAGAAGCAATATTCTAGAAAGGAAGAATGCAAATGGCAACAACCAGAACATCATTAATGTGTACTAAAACACAGAAAAAGTCTACATATAATATAAACATAAATTCAAAAGAATTCTAATCATTATTCAAAGCAAAACACAATTAAAAATATGGAATGAAGAACATAAACTCAAAACATATCAAATTTAATCAAGAACAGTTGAATTTTTGTTTAAAAAAACATAATCCATTAAACAAAATTGCAACGAAAATAGTAAAATGGAGCAAAGACTGTACAGGCAAGAAAAATAAACTTACCTGAGCACAAGAGGATGGATAATTCGCTTGGGGAAGAAGAGAGGTTTAGAAGAGAGAGGATAGTTATTGAATAATTAAATGAATTTATAAAAAATAGAACATTTATATTAAATATAAAGGGGGCTTGGTTGTATTATGATAAACATCTATTTTACACCTAAGTTTCTAAAAGTATTAAAATGGTTCATGACCCCGCAACCATATCCCACTTTTTTCGCCTTTCACTTTTTTAATAAGCTGACCCTAAAATATAAATCAAAAAGAAATTTAGAGGCTATTATTCAAATAAAGTTTTGGGAGTGTCTCACGTGCCAATTAATCTCATGTATCATGCCATGAACTTATTTCTAATTGAAATATGCGCCTTAGTACAAAATGAAATTTATAATCATTAGTAAAAAAAATTATTAGTTAAAAGAGCAAATAAGGATTATATCGGTTCACAAAAAATACAAAGTAAAAGTAGAATATATCATGGTAATGGTGCAAATATTGAAAGCAAAAGAGACATGGAGTACTCCGTGTTTACAAGCGGAAAACGTAGGTTGCGCTTGTTTGAAGTAGTATTTGAACATAGAGGAGAAACATGTCAATGCATCCTACCGCAAATCAGATTGCATATAATTAATTCAACAATTTTCACTCTTATAAATCAAGAGAGTAGTAAAGAAAACGGACAGTATATGATATATTTTTATTTAAGACAGATAGATCTAAATTAAATCAGAATGGATGAAGATAATAAAATGGAATCTAAGAAGCCTCCTCTCAACAAGTATGCTCTCGCTTGCGCCCTTTTGGTTTCCACCAACTCCATCCTCTTGGGCTAAACAAGTGTGTGTTTAGAATTAAGTTGGAGTTAGTCATATTTGTTCATCTTTAGTTCTTTTTTTATATTTGGACATTTGTAATTGATATACTTTTAATTATTCTATTTTATGTTTTACTTGTGATTTATATTAAAATTATATTTAAGAAATTTCATATATATATATATATATATGTGTGTGTGTGTGTGTGTGTGTGTGTGTGTAGAATTGTATATGGGAGATAAATATAACGGCTTGCTTTTCCATTAGAACAACGAGATATATATTGTTACATAATTACAGTGGGCTGAAGCCCAGTAAACAGAATCTAAACCTAAACCTAATCTGGGTCAACACTCCTCCTCAAGTTGGAGCATGAACATCGTGAATGCCCATCTTGGATAAAAGAAATGAAAAATTAGGATGAGATAAAGGTTTAGTAAACAAATCAGCTCGCTGGAGTTTCGTGAGAACGTAGAGGGTCGAGAGCTCGTGACGTCGTACGCATTCACGTACGATATGGCAATCAATGTTGACATGTTTCATCCGCTCATGAAATACTGGATTAGCTGCGATATATAGGGCAGATTGGTTATCATAATATAACCTCGGAACTGAGGTAATCGCGACTCCAAGACATCCGAGGATATGCTGAATCCACCAAATTTCGTAGCAAGTATCAGCCATGGCCCGATACTCAGTTTCGGCGGAAGAACGAGAGACGGTAGTCTGTTTCTTGGTCTTCCAAGAGATGGGAGATCGCCCCAACATAACAAAATAGCCGCTGACAGACTTTCTGGAGAGAGGACATGTAGCGCAATCAGAATCACAATAAGCCATAATCTGTAAGTTACTGTCAGCTCTGAGAAGAATGCCCTGACCCGGATGACCCTTGAGGTAACGCAGCACGTGCATAGTAGCATTGAGATGGTCAACTCTGGGCTCGTGCATAAACTGGGACAGGATATGAACTGAATAACCCAAGTCCGGGGGCGTAATCGTCAGATAGATGAGACGACCAACCAATCGACGTTATTTGCTGGGATCGCAAATCGTTGCGCTGGTCGAAGTGGCCAAGCCGTGACCAGGGGGCAAAAGAGTCGAGGGCGGTTTGCAGTCGGTGAGTTCGGCCTCCTACAGAATTTCCAGTGCATATTTGCGTTGGCACAACACTAAACCAGTCGACGAACGGGCACATTCGATTCCCAGAAAGTATTTTAAAGGCCCCAAATCCTTTAGCTAAAAATAGTTGTGCAAATATTTTTTGAATGAAGCGCATAGATTGAGGTTGTTACCTATGACTAAAATGTCGTCGACGTAAATTAAGATGGCCAGAAAGTCGGCACCGCGTTGAAAAATGAAGAGCGTATGATCCTTATGAGCTTGGTTGAAACCATGACGCCTCAATGTGATTGTCAGTTTTTCAAACCAATTTCTGGGTGATTGTCAGAGACCATAGAGAGATTTTTTCAGTCGACATACTTTGCCTGGGTGTGCATTAGAATAACCGGGTGAAAGTCGCATGTGGACCTCTTCAGTAATATCCCCATGTAGAAAGGTGTTATTTACATCAAGTTGGTGAATCTCCCAATTCTTGGCAACGGCAACGGACAATAAAATTCGTACAGTTCCCATTCGGGCAACTGGAGCAAATGTATCCGTGTAATCTGTTCCTAATTCCTGATGATTTCCCAGAACAAATAGTCGTGCCTTGTCCCGTTCTTTAGATCCATCAGCATGGAATTTTGTCTTGTACACCCATTGACACCCCAGAGCGCGTCTACCGGCTGGAAGGTCAGTCAACACCCAAGTCTGATTGTTTTGCAAGGCTCGAATTTTTTTATGCATAGCCTCCCTCCAATTTGCAAATTTAACAGCATCCCGAAAGGATCAGGCGACGTCTGTAGCAGAGATGGCAGCCAAGAAACCACGATACCTGTCATGCAATTTTTCATAACGAATGTAGTTAGTGATAGGAAATCGTGTACCTGAACGAGGAGTGGTCGAAAGAACGAGTAACGGGAGGTACATGAGTAGCATATTGGCACACATATTCAGAAAGGTAGCCAGGTGGATGAAGAACGCGACTTGAAGTCCGGGCAGGTGGTGGAACCACGCCTAGGTCGACGGGAGGTACGGTGGTTGTAGGCTCTGTGGAGGTAGTGGATTCGGGCTGATGTGGCGCAATGTTGGTCTGCTGAGTAATGGAAACAACATTTGGGTTAGGTGACATGGTAGAGACAACGACGAGAAAGTTTGGGTTGGGTGACATGGTGGAGACAGCGACGGGAAAGTCTGCTGCTTGTTGGACTGTCGGTGTGTGGACTGTCAGTGTGTATTTCGTGGGCTGTGGGTTGGTAGGCGTAGGTGCGAAAGGAAAAATCGTCTCATTAAACGCGATGTCACGCATATGAAAGAAACGATGAGTTTCCAAATCGTATACTCGCCAACCTTTCGTTCCGGATGGATAACCGAGGAACATACATTGGAGACTGCGGGGTGCGAATTTTGTTTGGTGGACGCTGGATATTTCGGACAAAACACAGGCACCCGAAAACACGTAACTGGAAAATATCTGGTGGGGTTTTATTTAGCATTTTGAATGGAGACTTGCCACCGAGGACACGGCTAGGGGTGCGATTGATGAGATAAACTGCAGTACGTACACACTCCCCCCAAAATTTGACTTGTAGGGACGCCTGGAACATTAAGGAGCGTGCTACGTTTAATATGTGACGGTGTTTGCGCTCGACCCTCCTATTTTGTTGGGGGGTTCCGACGCATGATGTTTGGACAAAGACGCCCATGTCGTGGTAAAACTGACGAAGAGGGTTATGAAGAATTTTGGTACCATTGTCAGATCGGATAATTTTTATAGTTTTATGGTACTGAGTTTGGATCAAGGTAAAGAATTATTTTAAGCAAGTTGTGACTTCACTTTTATCACTATGAGGTACACCCATATAGCTCGAGAGTAATCATCTACAATACTCAAAAAATAATGTGACCCAGAAGATAGACAGGTAGAGTAAGGACCCCATAAATCACAATGAATTAAATCAAAAACGGAAACAGCTTTATTAGAACTGGAAGGAAAACTTGAGCGAGTTTGCTTGGAATAAAAACAGATCTCACACTACTCTAATCGTTTGATATCTGAGGGGGTTTTATTAAAAGAAGGGGAACATAAAATTGTAGGAGATGGATGACCCAGTCGCTTGTGCAACAACTCGACCTGGTCGACTCTAGAAGCGGAAACGAAAGCTTGAGACTGGAACACGTATACCCCGTTACGAGCTGTACCCCGACCAATCTCCGTTGTCGAAACACAAACCAATAACACACAACAACAATCATCAAAAATCACACGACAATTGTTGAACTTAATCAGGCATCCAACAGAAATCAAGTGGCATTTCAGATTAGGGACGAACAACACATTTTTCAATATTAAATTGGCAGAAATTTGTACACTACCACAATAATTTGCCACAACACGAGTGCCATCCGGGAGACCAATAGAACACTCAGGGACAGACATAATATCATAAAGTGATGAAAAATTACCCGTCATGTGATGTGAAGCACCACTATCAATTAACCAATCGGGTGACAAAGCATGAACCGTACCCGTGTTATTTCTTGATTGTGTAGGAGTGTCGAGCATATTTAATAATCGAGTCATCTGCTCAGCCGACAGCCTTGGAAAGTTCCCGCCTTGGCTGTTGCCGATCGTCACTGCTGGTGAAGTTGGACTGTCTGTGTGTGCAGCCATGCCACCACCGCGGCCTGCAGATTGTTCACGGCCAGATGGTGGACCTTGACCTCTTCGACCCCCGCGTCCTCCCTCACGACCCCTTCTTCCTCCGCTGGGAAAGCCAATCAAAATAAAGCACCGTTCTGCAGAATGACCATTTTTCCCGCAATGGGTGCATTTGTATTTCAGAGGTGGTGTGGGTTGAGTTTCAACCGCGAATGCTAGTCCATCGGTGTGGTCATCGCGGTTACACACAATCGACTTGTGTCTCTCCTCTTGAGAGACAAGATAGTAGGCTTCATTGAGAACAAAAAGTGGATGGGTGCCGAAGATCTCGGAGCGAGTGGCTCCGAACTGTGCATCATCGAGTCCGAGAAGAAACGCATGTGTCTTCTCCTCCTCAAATCGAAGAAGCATTTTTGCACCTACAGGACATATACACCCGCAGTTTGGATCAATCGAACCATACAATTGGTTCCAAATATTTATAAACTGATTGTAGAACGAGACTACAGATTGACCTTTTTGTCTCAACATTTGTAGATCGGACTTCAACTGCCACGATCTTGGAGCATTCGTGCTTTTGTACCTTGCCGTTATATCAGTCCATAATTCGTGGGCAATTTGGTGAGCGACGATACTTGGCTGGATTGTCTCGTCAGCACTGTTAAAAATCCACGAACATATGATTGAGTTGTTCGCTTTCAAGGCATCAAGTTCCAACTCGTTCGTGGGTTTTCGAAAACCCTTTTCATATAAAAAACCAATCTTGCTTTTGCCTTCGAGTACATTACAAATAGCTTGCTCCCAAAAGTCAAAATTATCTCCCTTCAGTAGGTATTTGGTTAGAGAATTGCTTGGTCCTTCTGACGGGTGTAAATAGTAGACGGAGCTCGGATCATGGATCAGAATCTTCGCAGCAATCGTTGCGGAAATGGTGCTGGGTTTGGTGGATTCGACGGTCATGATTTCTCGTAGGGGCTGTGGTTTATTGTGCGAGATTGCAACGACGATCGGGAGATCGTATGTTGGCAGCGGCAGTGGTCGAATCTCGGCTAGGATTTGATTCCCGGTCGAGGCTCTGATACCATGTAGAATTGTATATGGGAGATAAATACAACGACTTGCTTTTCCATTAGCACAACGAGATATATATTGTTATATAATTATAGTGGGCTGAAGCCCAGTAAACAGAATCTAAACCTAAACCTAATCTGGGTCAACAATATATATATATATATATATATATTGCAAATATAATTTTATTTATATTTCTAATTATTGATATAACCGATTACCTGAATCGAAAAAACTCAAATCAAAAAAGAAAAATCAAATTTATTTTGGTTTAGATTTAATTACACTTTTTCAAATAAAAAATTGAAAAATCCAAATCAAATAATATAAAATCAAACTGAAAATACGAATGCACACACCTAGATGCTCTATCGATGGCTTGAGACCAATATAGAAAAAAATATTGTTGTGAGGTCTTTGGTACCCCTCTCACGACATCCTACAATTGATAGTGGTGACTCGATTGAAGATAAAATTTTGGGTGATAATGTTGATATGCATTGTCATCCCAATAGAATCGAAAGATTCCGAATAGTTTAAAAAATAACGAAAATGTGGGTCAGGATATAACTCAACTACAGTTTTTCCAGTGAAACTTTTAAATTAAATATATATTTAGCAGAAAGAATCAGTTGAAAATGTTATTAGACCAAGTGTTGATGAGAAATTCATTTCACTATACTACTTTGAAGAATTGTAGTAAATGGTTCAAAGGGAAATGTATACCCCTTGATTGTACCATGAGAAATTCTTTTCATTATACTACTTTGAAGAATTGTAGTAAATGGTTCAAAGGGAAATGTATACCCCTTGATCGTACCTTGATACTGCGTGCAAAGAAGTATGAATGCTCGATCAAATTTTTCACCTATAAATATGTTGACTATCACACTTGCAGCGTCGAACATGTTGCGCACATCCATAAGGAAATCTCAATCAAAGTAATTATGTCACATTATGTGAAGTCTGTATCCAAACGGCAAGAGATTAAACACTAAAAAAATCAAAGAATTTCATTATAGTTTAAGCATCTATGAGTACTATTCACCTATGCATAAAGTCAACGTCTATATTCTTGCGTACTCAAAATCAATTAATGGTATACTTGTAGAGTTCGGATAGTGTGTGCCACATGTATTCTTTCATCCTTGTCGATACCAAGCTTGGAATAAAGAAAGAAAACATGTTAAGGATGTTGGCGAGACTTACAAAGCTAAAAAGAAGAATAAGTATTTAGTGTTTAATTGATCAGTACACAAAAGAACCACATGTAACAGCCATAAATTTAGAATAGAGTTGTTCCACTTTATTTTTGTTGTTCAAGGTGATGTATGTAATTTAAGACTCAACAGTTTTGATATAATAAGTAGCGTGTTAATTTTGTCTTCTTTAATCACTTTCTATAATTAATAGGCTAAAACAAATATATATTGTACATACTGTCTATTTGATTTATTTCCTACTTACTACATAATGTGTTGCAATTTCTATTCGATTAGATCAATTTAAATAAACAAATTAAACAGTCTACGAGGTCTATGCTTAGCTGCAACTTTATTGTTATTAAAAATAATTAATTAAAACATAAGTTATTGAAATGTACACTATTTAATGAGTTTTTAAAAAGTCATAAGATGCTATAAGAGTTCACATACATTGGGGATGGTAATTTGATCAAGATGTGTGAGAATGAGTAGTGATTTTGCAATCAATTTTTTAGAGTAATGTTGACCAAACACAAGTATGTTGTAAGGATTTATTTGTTCAATCACAGTTCATTCTCATACATCTCTTATTATTATACCCAATTTACGCGGACACTTATATGATCATATGACTTATTTAAATTTATTTAATTGGAAAAATTTCAATAATATTATTTTTTTTATTAGTTAACTATTCTCTTTTTAAAATTTTACTAGTTAAAGTATATACATGTGTATCATTATTTAGTAAGTTTATTAAGAATGAATGTCTTATTATGGGCTATAGTTTAATCATCGACTTCTTATAGTCTAACTTATCCTAAGACCTTCATCCATAATAAACTTACTAGGTTAGGATACATATGTATAGACTATAACTAGTAGAATTTTGAAAAGAGAATAATTAATACATAAAAAATAGATTATTAAAAATTATACAATTAAGAAAGTTTAAACAAGTCATTTAATTATATAAGAGTGAATATATTGATGATAACGAACGATCAGATTTGTACGAGGATGAGTTGTGGTTGCATGAATGAAATTTTGACAAAACATACTTGTACTTTAGTAAACAATATTTTGAGGGTATTAATTATATAACCTCTATCCGTCCTCATACATCTCCGAGCGTTATTTCTAATTTACGTGGACTCTTATACGATCATATGAGTTGTTTAAGCTCATTACGTTGTGTAAAATTTTATTAATTAATTATTTTCTTTTTTGACAATATGCTAGTAAGAGTTATAAACTCATACAGTATATTATAGATAAAACATGTAGTTTAGATATACAATGAATTTAGTTATTGTTCCTCAATAAATATAATTTATGTAGTTATTTACTTTTTTGTTATATACTAATATTTTGTTTATCATTGCACCAACTAGCATATATATTACAAATGAAAATTTTAATCTATGCAATCCATCATCTACCAGCCATATGAGAAATAGTTGATTATATTTATGATGTACGATACTAACAAAATTTAAATATCCATTTTTTCAATGGTAGTAAAGTACAATTCAAATTAAACCCAATAGTAATATCTTACCTTTTTATACATAAAAAAGCAATCTTTGTTTTAACTCCCTCATTTTATTGACTTCATTTATATTCAATTTAAAAAAAAAGAAAAATTATTAATTCCAAATTTAAATACAATTCAATTGTATTTAGAGTTAATCCTTGGTAAATAAGAAAAAGGTTTATAAAAGTATCTCTAAAATTTTATACGTAAAAAAAAAGAAGAAAATTGTATATAATAGCAAAGTAATAATCTAAAATAAATGGAATAGCTAGGGTTTGATTTAATTGTGCTCCATAGCAAACGTTAGCTAAAATTTGCCAGCATCTCTCTCTCAAAAATCTCGCTTGTCACTCTCCATTCTCGCTCGCCTCTCTCGCTTTATACATAGAAGTGTATAATTCTGTTTCTGTTTTGTATAAAGCGAGAGAAAACTGTATATACACATGCAAAAATATATATCTTCGTGTTATACACTTAATTATACAATTTACAAACATTTTACTTCAAATATTGCAGACAAAAAGGTGAACGAATTATACGATTGCAAATTATACAATTGCAGTGAAATACAATTTTCTCTAGCTTTATACAATAGAAGTGTATATATTTTGTTTCTGTTTTTGTATAAAGCGAGAAAAACATATAGCTTCTTGTTATACACTTATAATTATGCAATATACATACATTTTAATTTGATTCAACTGTATGCAAAACAAATTATACATTCGCAGCGAAATAGGCCAGCGAATTATACAATTTAGGCCAGCGAATTATACAATTGTATATGTATAGCGAATTATACAGTTTTATGTTTGTTATGGAGCGCAATTAAGCAAACTTTGCTATAGCATACAAATATGAATTTTTTGTTTGCTATATGTGAAAGTTACCCTAAAAAAAGAGTAAACTAATATAGTAAACAAATTTCTCTAGGATTAAACAAATTTATGCTACCTTTTAGAGAAATTTTAAAAATTAATTGTCTACCTTTTTCATTTAATTTTAACGGGAGTTATGTTCCTAATATTAAGATTATAACTTATATTTTTGTCTAACATGTACAATTGCTTTGCACGTGTAAAATATACTTTCCTCTTGCAAGTAAGATTATTAAGTATAAAAGGAAATTAAGGTAATTTTCATTAGATCAATGAAATAAAATAATAGTTTTCTATTACCAAACATTAACTTAGCTTTTGATTAGGTAATTAACATGTTGATAATAATTTTGCATTCAACTAAAAATCAATGTTTTCCTTAATATTAAATTCAATAATAAACTCACCGATTTAGCCTATATCAAAATTCATACATGGTAGTAGAAGAATGAATTGCCAGAGCAAATGATAAATATTAAATCAATAAATTAAAATTTAAAAAAAAAAGGAATTAGAAAAAGGGACGCATGCGTCACGGTAATAGAATTTTTTTTTTTTTAAAAAAAAGTATTTTAAGCATAGGAATGGAGGACTCAAACATCCAATTTAAAAAGAGATGAGTGGCATTTGGGTTGGTGTTAGGAGACAATTTATATGTGATTCCTACGTCAGTTTCAAGAAAAAAGGATTATTCCTACTACTTTTAAAAAAATATATTAGAATAAGAAAGAATTATTAGTTAAAATAACATGTTTATTGAGGTTAAACTTGTAGTACTAGTAGGATACATTTATTAGTCAGGAGTATTTATGGTATTGGTGCATAGCAAAAGAGATATAATAGAGTAGTATTTACGAGAGGGAAAACGCATGTTGCGCTTGTTTGAAGTAGTAGAGGAGAAACGTGTCAATGCATCCTACAAGTTTGGCAAATCAGATTGCTTATAATTAATTCAAAAGTTTTTCAATCTCATTCACATCAACAGAGTAGTAAAGAAAAGAGATTTTTGTTAAATTAAATCAAAATGGATGAAGATAATAAAATTGAATGTGAGAAGCCTCCTCTCAACAAGTATGCCCTGGCTTGCGCCCTTTTAGCTTCCACCAACTCCATCCTCTTGGGCTATGGTCAGTTTAGTTTAGTTTAGTTTAAATAATATTTTATTTCAAAATCTGAACAATTATTATATACTTGCAGATATTGGAGTGATGAGTGGAGCTGTGTTATTCATAAAAGATAATATGAATATTTCATCTTCTGAAGTGGAAATATTGGTTGGATCATTGAATGTTTGTTCTCTAATTGGAGCTCTTGCTTCTGGAAAGACTTCAGATTTGATTGGTAGAAGATACACAATTATCTTATCAGCAGCAACATTCTTAATAGGTTCACTTTTGATGGGCTTTGCTCCTTCCTACCCATTCCTTATGGCTGGAAGGGTTGTTGCTGGAATCGGTGTTGGTTATTCTCTCATGATTGCTCCTGTCTATACTGCCGAGGTATCGCCTGCTATGACTCGTGGTTTGCTTACATCACTCCCTGAAATCTTCATCACTGTTGGTATTTTACTTGGCTATATTTTCAATTATGCATTAGCTGGTTTACCACATCACATCAACTGGAGGTTAATGCTTGGTCTAGCTGCTCTTCCAGCTATAGCCATTGCCTATGGAGTTTTTCAAATGCCTGAATCACCGCGTTGGCTTATTATGAAAGGTAATATAGAAGAAGCCAAAAGAGTGCTTCGTAAAACTTCAGATAATGATGATGAAGCTGATATGAGATTGGAAGAAATAATTAATGCTGCTGGAACAACTACTAATTGGAAAGGTCAGGGGGTTTGGAAACAACTCTTAAGACCAACTAAGCCACTTCGCCGTATTCTTCTAGCTGCTATTGGTATTAATTTCTTCATGCAAGCCTCTGGTAATGATGCAGTCGTATACTACACGCCATCAGTGTTCAATGCTGCAGGAATTCACAACCGTAAAGGACTAATAGCTGTGACAATCATAATGGGAATGGCAAAGACGTTTTTTTGCATAGTATCAGCACTTTTCTTGGATAATTTCGGAAGGAGGCCTATGTTGTTGTTGGGTACAATAGGAATGGCTGTTTCTCTAGCTGGTCTTGGGTTAGGCTCAATGTATCTAAACAATGTTGATTATAAGCCATCATGGGCTATCGCGTTGTGTGTTGTTGCAGTATGTGCTGATGTTTCATTCTTCTCAATAGGACTTGGTCCAATAACATGGGTATATTCTTCAGAAATATTTCCGATTAGGTTAAGGGCACAAGGTACGAGCTTGGCGGTTTCAGTGAATCGACTGGTGAGTGGTGCGGTTGCAATGACATTTCTAACTATATCCAACAAGATAACATTTGCAGGAACCTTCTTTCTACTCTGTGGAGTTATGATAGTAGCAACTATTTTTTTCTACTTTTTCTTGCCTGAAACTAAGGGCAAGAGCCTAGAAGAAATTATGGCAATCTTTGAAGACAAAAAGGAGGAAACGATTGAAAGATAGATTTAAACATGTTTGATTTTGAGATGTTTGCTTTAGATGCATCTACATTTTCTCACTATATTGAAAGCACTCTTTCTATCTCATACAAGTCAAAAGTATGGTCTGTTACCATTTCTGTGTCGGTAATTTAGTATGTTGTTGTAATCCATCATGGACAAAAAAAAATGCATTATTGTTTTCATAATAGTGTTGTAATTTTCTTTAATGCTAACGTCGTAAAACACCACCATATTCTACTCTTCATATTGATCCAAATAAATCGGATTCGGAGGGGGGCGGGGGCGCCTAAGGTTCCATCATAGGAATCAATCCTCATGATTCTTTATGTTAACCTGATTTGATTTTTCTGCTAACTAACTTTTTTATAATGTGTTCAAACACAAATCATAAGTGCTTTTGGTTATACAAGTTATATAAGATGTTAAATCTAGATATCCTATCCAGATAGAGTTGTTGAATTATTGTATAATTTGAATTAGTATTTCAACGATTTAACAAATATTATAAAATCAAGCTCATAGCAATATAAGTACAAAGAGAAGAAGACAATATATAGAGATGAAGAACAGAACTTTTCTTCTTATTCAAGTGTATGTAAGTCTCATATGTATATCATACAATAGTGAATGAACAATCTTATTTATAGGTTGAGAAATCACTCCAAAAGTCATCATATTAAGTATCATAATAAATATATACATTCTTATCCATAAAGGTTCATGAAACCTAGTGAGCATGGATGGTTATTCATGTACCAAGTTTATGGATTATCCACTCATTCAATGGATTTATAACAATCCCCCTTGGATGTCCATAGATAATGTGCGTCGTTAAAACCTTACTAAGAAAAACCCTATGGAAAAAAATTCTAGTGAAGGAAAAAGAGTACACATATCTTTTGATACGCACTATTTGTTGCCTCATTAAAAACCTTGCTAGGAAAAACCCAATAGGAAAAAACCTCGGTCAAGGGAAAAAGAGTGCAACGCGTATTATACTCCCCTGATTAAAACATCACTTAATTTCTTGTGATGATGTCTCCAATCTTCGTACATTGTGGTTGGTATATTCTTTTTCAAATAAAATCACACATTTTCAGAATATGATATGTCATTTATCTCAACCAGACGCACTTTCGACTTGCTTCATGGAGGGCTTTTATTTCTGCATAGCAACATTTGCTTCATTGATCGCCAGGATATTATTGTGCCTCCACATGCAAGCACATAGCGTGCTTGAGATAGAGCTTTATGCGGATCAGAAAAATATTCTGCATGTGTGTAATCAATCAATTTTGTCTTGAATTCCTCGGAATAGAATAAACTCATAACTATGGTCCTTCGAGGATATTCAATGATGTGCTCAACACCATTTAAATGTCCTTTTTATAGGGGAGAAATTTAATCTTGCCAGTAAATTTACTGCAAAATAAATATCTGGTCAAATGTTGTAAGTGAGATGCACTAGTACCCTGATTGCACCAAGATATGGAGTTTCATCATCAAGAAGCTCTTCATCTTTCTTTTGAGATCAAACTGAATCATCATTTACGTCAAGAGATCCCATCATCATTGGATGAATGTGATTTATCCATATAAAAACGCATCAAAACATATTTGTGTATGTGCACTGATAGACAAATATTTCATTTGTCTAATTATTAATCTGTAGGTCAAGACAAAATTATGTCTTACCAAGACCTTTTCATAACATACAGGGACAATTAGGATCATTCTTTTGTACCCTTTTCTTTCTTAACTATTTCAACCCATATAAGGATTCTTGAAGTTTTATTAAAAAGTTTCTTTCAAACTCTTATATGCTTCAGACACCTCGATTACTTGAAGGATTTTCATATAATCTTCATTGTCTGTCTAGACATTACAATTATTCATTAACATGCATTCAAGTTTTTCTTATGTTGTCAGATCAAAACAAACCTCATTGCATCCACCATAGGAGAAAACATCTCCAATAAAGTTAGGATTTTTGCGACAAACCTTTATGCCCCAAGGCACAAACCAGATTTGATATCTTACGGTTATACTATAGCATAATATTTTATTTGTACCCCGCTAACATTATACCTTGATTTATGGACTATCCGTTCAAAATCTCACTTTTCTAAGTGAAATAATATACTTGAATTATGCATTTACTTGGCCAATCATTTATTTGTCCACACTATATGACAGATTTGAATCCAAGATCCTCGTCACAATTTATATCATTGAGCGCTATCTCATATCAAAGATACCGTCCACGGTTATTTGATATCGATTCCAACAAGACATAACTTATCGAGATCTCTTCATTTTTCAAGTACCTAAACCTTTTCAGAGGTTTTATGAAGTGTTATGTCAATGTGCTCTTTTATAGCAATTGTCTCATTTTTATGACCATATTGATCATTTGCTCCTTCCTTTATCAAGAAATTTTATATTTGGAACCGATTGGTCTATTACGCTCTGGCGTATCATACACGCTGTCCTTCAAGGACTTTACATTGGTGCATTTGCAGCTGAATTATATCATAGGGTCACTACATTCATCTGCAATTGATTTGCAACATTATGCAAATGAATTATCCCTTGTTTATTAAGTTCACATATTTACTTAACGAAGATCAAGATAATTCATAATTAACCTCACACATAATTTTCAGCTGTCAAAATCATCTCTCCCCCTTATGTTAGAAAATCTAACATTCATCCCAACCTTATTTGGGAGTCATTTTTGTGCGTGGTGGAGTAATTAAAATCATAAACGCAATATTTTAGATGAAAATTATATGGTTCCTGACCCTGAACCAAGTTTAAGGGGGGAACATTGTTGGCTTGATGCATACATGTATTGCTACATGTTAAATAAATTTATTTAATACCAAATTTTATTTGGGAGTTTTGTTCTCATAACCATGATTTAGCTATAATTGGAGGCATACAATTTTTGCTAAATCAACCAACATTATCAATATAATTTCATAATTTGGAATTGTGCTCTTAATTTAACAATTCGAGCAAACAACCTTACAAACACCAATTGGTAAGTTGACAACCAAGCACATGTGATCATCGCATAGATGCATCTATCATATAGTTACAAATAATCCACATGGCAGGTGAATATGTCATATTCACCTTTTTATATGTTTCAAAAACTTCATGAGATTACAGTCCAAACCTTAGTTGGTACAATGAAAACAAGCAAAACAAGAGAATTCTTGAAAAATCTTTTATTTCTTCATCATAAGACACATAAATTCTCAAATATATTTGCATCACATCCAAACTATGATAGTAAACTGGTTATGCCAACTGATATTTATTTCAGTACATGTATAATTTACTTTTGCATGTGATTTCATCAGCATGTTCATGTTTGTCTGAAACAAATAAGAGAAAAAGTGAAGTAATCTTTTACATAAATATTTATAACCCTCTTTGATTGTAGTGATTTATAGTCTCAATATTTATTTTCAACTCATCCGAAAGTTAAAAAGTTTCTTTTGAGACTTACTACAACGCCAATATTATTCCTCTGATAATAGCACAACTCGTTAGAGTTTGCAATTAGTTTTGTGTACTATCACATATTGCATGATACCATCCCTATTATTGTCATGGTCAAAATCATTACAAGCAAAACGTGTTTCTTGCTTTACTTTTGTTGTACCATAGGTACACAACCACAAATTTGTATTGCCACACAACAATGACCACAACCCTTATAGGCAAAAACTATTTCTTTCTTTTTTCCTTTCGGTAGTTCACAATAAACATACCATAGTGACGTATAAACGTACAATACGATTAGCCATTTCTGCCAAATAAAATTTATTTCCTCTCAAACTTCCCGTAGAGGTGAGTTTTGACATATATCATTTTTTTCTCAAACCTCCCATAGAGGTGAGTTGTGGCATATATTCAACCCATAATGATTTTATCACATCTTGACCCGTTTTCTTATAGAATGTTCGAGCATTAACGATACTCATCACAAGTCACATTCTTTTCAAGGAATGGACTAATCATTTATATATACTTCATAAATTTGCATTTTAAGTACATTGTCATGGTTTTAAAATTCATTATATTTCCATGACACACCTCAACATCACTTTGAAAGATCAAGTGTACTATCTTCTTGTCTCATGATAGAAGATTTATTAACTTGTCAAATTATTGGGTTGACAACATTCACAAGTCTAATGGCCTTTCATACCAAAAAATTGTTTTCACATTTTTAAGGACTATTTGAAGAACTCATAGTGTTCTTCCTTTTATCATTACCACAATAATGACTATTATAATTTCGTCCCTTCACGCCCTTATTCATATCATTAATTAATTGTAATCTTTAAGACTAATTATTCACTGCTACCACATTCATATTATTGAATGGAGCAAGTCAACATGTGAATTTCAAAGTTATCACATATTGCTACCACATTCTTTTCAAGGAATAGAACAAATTCAATATATAAATTTCAAGAATTTTCATCAAATATATATTATTTTTGCCTTAATCATCATTTTATCACCACTATGGTGCATTGAGACTCAAATTCAATGTCTTATCCATACATGGCACATTAGGTCATAATTCTATGGGACTTGAACCCAATACATTATTATTACAGTGCATCAAAATTCAAATTGATGACTTACCCCCTTGGTGCAATAAAATTTGAATCTATCGTCTTATCCTCAAATATTTTTCATTATGGTGCATCCGGACTTTAACCTGATGTGTTACCCTTTTGGTGCGATGAGACTTGAATCCACCGTCTTACCTTTAATCAACGATATAATAGACCGAAATACAACATGACTCACCCTTTTTTTTTGAGTCTTTCAAAATAATATTCAAACTCATGCTATTAAAATTTTATACCTTCTTCCTATTAAGAATTTTTTTTTGTATAGCATATCACATTCAACCAATAGTAGTATATGATAATACCACAGAAAAATTTGACTTTACTTTTTTATTTTTGAGGTAACTCTCATCAACTAGCACTAGTTTGAGGTGAACTAGCACTAGTTTGATGTCTACCTCTATGAGTAATTCATCAAATTGGTTAAATCTAAAATAATAACATACTTTTTATTTAATACGATCCCACTATACATATAGATTCACCAACTACATTTCGGCCATCCAGAGATTCTGATCTATTTGAAAATTGCTAGAATTGATATATCCATATATCATGTTTCTGCGGGCATAAGAGTTTTTTCCTTTATGTTCGGTGGAAATCACATGTTATACTATACTACAATAAATAGATATCCGTGTTATGATACAAGTCCACGTTTTCAAAAAAAA